CCTCAAAACTCTCATTCATTCATGCTCGGGGGCCCTCAAAACTCTCACTCATTTGTCTTCTCCCACCTGTTTGTCCTCTTAAGCATCCTCCAGCAGCGGAGGGTGTCAGGGACCTCGTGCTAGGCCCACAGGAATACCAGGGGGAGATCTGAAAGCCACAGAACCCCACTGCTGCCAGACGAGAACTCAAAGTGTTCTCTTCGGGGGGCCTCACCATTTTCCCTCCCATATCCTAAGAGCAGCTAAAGCACATCCCTGTCCACACCTAGCACCCTGAGCAAGCACACTCAGGCCCTTGCTTTTCCCTGAAGAGCACATGAACACCCATTAGGGTGTATTATATATATATATATATATATATATATATATATATATATATATATATGTTTTATTTGAAGCTCAAAGTTTTCTGATTGTTTTGCTGGACAAACCTACTGCTCAGGCCAGACCACTCAGAGCCAGAAAGGGACTACCTAGTCCCTAGAACCAGCCAGAGGGCTCTTAGGCGAAGGAGAGAGCTGGGCATTTGTAGCCTGAGGTCTCCCTGCCCGGAGAGAGACAATGACCACCACCCATCTCTCTGCTTTTCTTTCTTCATTTTGGTTTTTCAAGACAGGATTTCACTGTGTAGCCCTGGCTCTCCTAGAACTCACTCTGTTGACCAGGCCTCAAATTCAGAGACCTGCCTGCCTCCCTGAGTGCTGGAATTAAAGGTGTGTGCTGCCGCCACCCGGCTCTACACCCCTCTAATACTGCCGCTACGCTGTGTCCACTGCCGGCCCATTCCAGGACTGGCCCCACTCTGGCCTTTGCTTCCTCCTGGAGACCTAGACTCTGCCCGTGATCTTTCTCCCTCCTCCTGTCTTTCACTAGATGGCACCTGGCCAGCATCCTCCTGCACGCCCCCTTCCCTTCACCCTAGTCTGGCCCTGCAATCCCTCCCATCTTCCTCCTGGTCTCTACCAACAGCCTCCAGCTTCATTTACCACAAATCAAACTAGTGGAGTGACCTAGTTTCAACTTAATTTAGGTTATGATGTAATTTTATACTTGTTTTTTGTTTCGTTTTGATATTTTAAGACTGGGTTTCTCTGTGTAGCCCCGGCTGTCTTGAAACTCACCCTGTAGACCAGGCTGGCCTCGAACTCCCGAGTGCTGGGATTAAAAGTGTATGCCAACAACACTTGGTTTATGCTTGCTTTTTAATCCTGTCTCTTTTTGTTTTGTTTTTGTTTTGTTTTGTTTTTGAGACAGGGTTTCTCTGTGTACATTTTTTTTTTTAAGACAAGATCCAGAGCTGGTCCAGACTGGTCTCTAACTCCCTATAAAACCGAGGATGACCTTAAATTCCTGATCCTCTTTGAGTCAAGTGCTGGGATTACAGGAATATACCACGCCTGGTTTTATGCAGCACTGAAGATCAAACTTGGGGTTTTGTGCATGTTGGGCAAGTACCCTGGCTGCTTAGCTATAGCCTCAGATCCTGTTTGTTTAACAGAAGAAAATTTTAAAAAGAAAGAAAGAAGGAAGGAAGGAAAGAAGGAAGGAAAGGAAAGGAAGAGAGGAGAGGAGAGGAGAGGAGAGGAGAGGAGAGGAAACAGAGGGAGCAGTTAGAGAAGAACTTGGAAGAGACTAGTAAGCTGGAAAGAGAACTTACCCCCAAACTGTTTTTGAGGTAAGATTTCACATGAGGCCCTGTGTGGTCTATAATTCACTATGTAGACCAGGCTGGCCTTAAACTCGCAGAGATCCATCTGCCTCTGCATCCCCAGTTCTGGGTTAAAGGAGTGTGGCACCATGCCTGGCTACCCCTGGACATTTGTTTTGTTTTGTCTTGTTTTTTGAGATAGAGTTTTTCTTTGTAGCCCTGACTGTCCTGTAAACCAGGCTGACCTTGAACTCAGAGATCTGCCTGCCTTTGTCTCTCAAGCACTGGGATTAAAGGTGTGCAACCCCCACCATGGCCTGGCCCTACCACTGGGCCTTTTAAACTCTGCCTCATGACAAACTATTGCCTAATCACAAAATAGATTAACTTTCAAAGCTAAGTCTATTTGGCTACAAAACAAAGTACCAGTTCCTCAGCCTGGCACGTGGGCCCTCTTGGCCTCCCTCACCTGGGCCCCTGTGAGAGTCTTTTATAACCTCACCAGCTACTCTTCTAAAATTCCTCCAGGGTTTCTTAGCCCCCACACCACTGATATTAAAGACCAGGTCACCCCCCCACCCTACCCATTTTTCGTGTGTGTGTGTGTGTGCGTGTGTGTGTGTGTGTTACACTTGTGTGCATGCATGTGGATGAATGTACACATGGGTGATTGTGCCTGTGGAAGCCCTGAGGTTGATG